TTCTTTTCATACCCAATGAATTGCACACAGTGTGTATGCAGATTTTTGCTGAAAGAATGAACCAATGGATGAATGCCTGAACAAGACTGATTCTTCTCCCCAAACTGCTTTCGAAATACATGTTTCCCCCAATGTCTGAGAGTGGAGCATTCCTATGAATACATCTGTGAGCCAAAATGGTAAAAATGAAGAAACAATTGCCATTAATTTATGTGTGGAAAACATTTTGAGTGTTCTAAGACCCCCCAAAATAGTTTATGTATACCAAATTAAACCTAAAATAACATGGGAGAAAGTTGAGACTTTCTGCTCCCATAAAGATTTACAGCCTCAGAAACCCTGTACAGGGTCGCTATGAGTCAGAACTGACTCCGTGACACTAACCACCACCACCATAGTGTTCTCAGACACAATTCAAAGCTAGGGCAGCTTGATGCTTAGACATCCGTGTAGTTCTCCGAGGAGGGGCTTAGCGGTGCTGGTCTCTCTGCTCCGAGTATATGTTGTTGTTAAGTGTTGTCAAGTTGTTTCCGACTCATAATGACTCTGTATAGGCTTTCTGAGGAGTAGCTGGTGAGCTTGAACCACTAACCTTGCAGTTCAAACCGACCTTTCAGTCCAGCACAGTAACCCACAGGGTTACTGGATATATGCTGCCTCTTTAATGGCTAGGCTTACTGCCAAACAAATGCTGAATGCTAGTTTAACTTTTAGCCTTTTTTCATAAAAGTGTAAAATCCTCTTCAGATTTATTTCCATTAGTGAAAATGGGCACTGATGTAAATCTTTTGTTAAAACAAACAAGTAGGTGACATAGAGTAACGTTTTGAAAAGCAAGGGAGATCTGTACCCAAAGAGAACTCTGAGAAAGTTCTGTGAAGACCATTTTAATTAACGTAGAGAGTCATTGTATATCTTGTACAATACACTTTGAATTTTGATCAATTTGAGGTAAGTGCTGGTGTGGCACTGTTGGATAAGAATAGGACTGCTAATCACAAAATCAGCAATTCAGACCCACCAGCTGCTCCATGGAAACCCTATATTGAGCTGCTATAAGTTGGAACCAACTGAAAAGAACTTACCAACACAAATGACCTTATAAGTGCCTATGTGGTACAAAGGGCTAAGCACTTGACAACTAACCAAAAACGTTGGCAATATGATTCCCTCAGAAAAGTCTAGCCATCTGCTTTCAAAGAGTACCACCTGTGAAAACCCTGGAGACTGAATGCAGACCACGGGGTCTCTAAGTCTCCCTCCTTTAATTTTCTCAGCACTTCAACTCTTTATCTTTGCTTCCTAATCTAAGTTCATTTCCATTTATTGAAGGATACAGGTAAGGAAAGGGGAAGAAAGATGACACAGAGGGCAAAGGCAGGCTGAGAAAATGATGCTAAGGTGGCATGGGGCATGAGCAGACATTCTGCTTACCTGTGAGTGCAGACTGGGAAGTGGCTATGTGAACACATTGCTCCCAGCTAAGTGATCAAGAGGTGGGTGCTCCACTGGTTTTTCCTGGGAAAGCCTGCAATGAGAAATCCTGACTCTGACAGCAAGCTGGTGGAGCCAGAGTACTGGTTAGAGCTACTGCGTTTGGTCATTCTGAATGATTGCTGAAAGACCCCAGGCTGTGTTTACTGTTTCAGCCTCTATACAGTTCTTATTCAGGCAAATCACCTCAAGCTTCAGGTAGGGGGACCGCATCCATTTGTTTCTAAACAATATGATCTTATTGTGGCAAACATTGGGTCTTAAAATATATGAATTCTAGAAATAACTCTCTATTGTTGTTGTTGTTGTAACGTGCCGTCGAGTCGGTTCCGACCCATAGCGACCCTGTACAGGGTTTCCGAGGGTGTAAATCCTTACGGGAGTAGAAAGCCTCATCTTTCTCTCGCGGAGCAGCTGGTAGTTTCGAACCGCTGACCTTTAGGTTCGCAGTCCGATTCGTAACCACTACGCTACCAGAGCTCATTATAACCCCTTTAAAATTTGGAGGTTTGTTTCTTTATTGACAAATTTAGACTTGGGTGCACTAAATTGGATCAAGTTTTTGAAAGCTTACATAGAAGGCAAAAAGAAGAGAACTCCATTGTGGGAAACATAGGAATCCAGAAAATTGATAAACATAGGATGAAAAGCCCAACTCCAGGCTTATTATAATTGACATTTTGAAACACAATGACCAATTAACTCTGCCCTGTGTGTGGTCCAATAGGATAATGGGTGTCTCTCAAAACTTAAGGGAACAGACAATGAGTGATGCCCTGTGCTATGTTGTCTTTGTCTGTGTGTGTTTGGGGGAGAGGGGATCTTGCCTTAGAGTTAGCAGCAATAAAGGCACCTACCATTTCTATAACTTTCTTCTTGGTGCGATAAGACATCTTGGAGAGGGGGAGATTCCAAAAGATAGAGTTTTTCATCTGTGTCCCATTGTCAACATTTCCTAGTCAGCTTTGAACGAATAGTTTGGATGATCAGGATAAATACTTCTCATGACTTTATTTCACTCTCTAGGAGGCCATGTGACACTGCCAGAGTATCTCAGCTAGACCAGTGTTTCACCTGTAGATTGTGGTGTCTGCAGAGTTTATCTCATAAGCCGTTGGCATCAGACAGAGCCACAGACTGATGGGCTGAGCAGATAGGGGATGGTTAAGTTCTGCCTAGTGGTAGGAAGGTTGTGTATGAGCAAACACAAGGAGGCTAAAAGGGCTGGAGTGTCAGGCATTGAAGTCAGTTGTCAAGGGATTTGGCATGGCCCAGAGTGGCATAAGGGACTTTGTTAGTTGCTGCCAGTAAATATTAGGTTTTATTTGAGCCAACCTGCTAGGTGAATAATCTGGAAGTCTGTGCTAAAACTATAGGATCACTTGCAGAAATAGCCACTAGCCTCAGGTTTAAACAGATGAGAATAGGGTTGGCAGGGGCCCTCTTGGTCCAGGTAAGAGTTGCAGTGGCCACTGATCAGGTCACTATAATTCTCTACTTCCTTTGGGGAGGGCTACAATGGCTTAGCAACCTCAGTGATTCTTTCTTTTCCTCTCTACTTTGGAAGCAGAGCAGAAAATGATTTTGAATCCTGTTCTTTTCTCCCAGCCCACCCTCCACCACCACTAGGCATTAATCACCATGCTGGTGCTGAGGATCGTGTGTTGTCGAGCCAGTTCTGACTCAGAGTGACCCTGTCTATACAGGGCTTCCCAGGTTGTAAATATTTACAGGAGCAGAGAGCCTCATCTTTCTCCTCAAAGCTGCTGCTGGTGGTTCTGGTGTTGTGTTGCAGAGTCGGTTTCCACTCATAGTGACCCTGCACAGGGTTTCTGAGACTATAAAACTTTATGGGAGCAGAAAGCTTCATCGATCTCTTGGGAAACGGCTGGTAGTTTCAAACTGCCGACCTTGAGGTTAGCAGCCTGACTCATAACCACAACGCTACGAGAGCTCCTTTCAAAGCTGTTGGTTAATTCAAATTGCTGACTATGTGGTTGTCACCCTATGCATACTTCGTTATGCTCCTAGGCTGCCTTCCATAACTTGTCATCATTGCGGAGTCCAGATCCTTAATGTAGGTATTCAGCTTCTTAACATGGCTAGAATGCTACACTATTTCTGAACCTCAGTTTCCTGTTCAAACTCCATCTTTCTTCTGTGTGTTCAACTTTCTTCTATTCCCAGCCCCTGATAGGATTTTACCATTGATTTCCTTTCTAGTTATTTCTTCCTTGGCTTTTTGGACAGTCATATGTGTTTAATGGAGTCCTGGTGTGGTGCCACAGATAAGCACTCAATCTCAAGGTCACTTTGAACGGCAAGGTTGGCAATTCAAACTCACCAGCTGCTCCTTGGAAACCCTACACAGGGTCACACTATGAGTTGGAACTGACTCCACAGCACTTAGCAATAACAGCATGAATTTAATAACTCACATACAAGTCTAGAGATTGCCCATTAGTAAGCCCATTACTCAGTGGACTGAAGAGTTGTTTCTATCACTTGTCATCCCCACTTCCCCCCACACTTTCTTAAATTCATATAGGTGTATCTGAATTCTGCCTTTGCCTTGAATGTAATTTGCCACACCTTGTAGAATTTGATTCTGTTAACACGCAGTAAACACTGTCATTGACTACGGCATATCCTGCTCTTTATCTTGAATGCCTTTGCAGGTTCAGTGGAGGGTGGGGGGAAGGCATGAGCAAAGAGCCATTCTCATCACAATGCACTTTGCAGAGTAGGTTCATTCCCCAAACAGAAAAGGTATTGTAAAATTGTCTAGTTATCTGTCAATTTGCCTAGATGTTTCCATTCTAAAGTTCTCAAGAAGATGCCTTGCTGAGACCACATAACTCAAATTGTTTTTACCTTAGTCAAATCAGTGTCAGCAGCTGTTGTAATTCATCAGAAGTATAAACCAAGAAGTGGTGGATGATCATATTATAATGGGCTCGCACTGACGGAGCAGCCCTGCAAAACTGAGCTTTTCACTGAGCTTGTCCTTGCTGACATCTGAGACCAGGTGTCCCACAGACAAAAAAAACCACAGGGTGGCTGCTAATGTCAGGTGATCTTCCAGAGCAAGGAAGGTATCACCAAAGGAAAAAGAGAGGCCGTCTCCAAATGCTGGATTCTGAACATAGCTCTATGTGGCATTTGACCTGTCTCCTCTAACAGCACTCTTGGACTGTGGTTGTGTAAGAGACTCAGGTTTGTAGGATGTAGTATGAATGAGACCAATGCTCCAGGCAAATCTAATGCAACTCAGAAAGCTAGTTATACATACTAATTACAAAAGTTTACCAAAATATGTCATAATTATATATCAGTGTGTTAAGGGCTGGGGGGGGGGGGGGGCGGGCGGCTATGAAGGAGTATTTGTAGATAACAGTTTCAGCACTAAGAAATATCTTAATGTGTCACTGAGTCCAATTGTCAAGAATTTATGTTAGAGTCGTGGGCGAACGAGCAGGAGGCTATTCTGTTACAGGAGCGTAACAATGCCTAAATCAAAGGAACTTGTATCTTCAAGCTCATCTGGCAGTGATTCTGATAGTGAAGTCGACAAAAAGTTGAAGAGGAAAAAGCAAGTTGCTCCAGAAAAACCTGTGAAGAAGCAAAAAACTGGTGAAACTTCAAGATCCTTCTCATCCTCTAAGCAGAGCAGCAGCAGCCGAGATGATAACATGTTTCAGATTGGGAAAATGAGGTATGTCAGTGTTCGGGACTTTAAAGGGAAAGTCCTAATTAATATTAGAGAATATTGGATGGATCAGGAAGGTGAAATGAAACCAGGAAGAAAAGGTATTTCTCTAAATCCCGAGCAGTGGAGTCAGCTGAAGGAACAGATTTCGGACATTGATGACTCAGTAAGGAAACTGTAACATCAGAGCCGTATCCAACCGTACTGCTCTAGTCATTTTAATCTATCTGTTTACATTGGCTTTTGTTTTCTAACCGTTGTTTTCCAAGCTATTGTATATTTGGATTGCAGAACAATTTGTAAGATGAATACTTTTTTTTTAATGTGCGTTATTAAAAATGTTCTGAGTGAAGCTGATTTGTCAACTTTATTAAGGAGAACTGCTTGTGCCCACTAACCTAGTGTAAAATAAAGGCAAGTAATTTAAAAAAATAAATAAAGTATGTTAGCCAACATATTTCCAAATGGTGTCTGAACATTTTGAGAGATGAAGCGTCTTTCTTTCATGGTAACTTATTATATATCTGCTAGAGACAATTTAAGGAGTTCTGGTAGCATAGTGGTTACGAATCAGGCTGCTAATCTCCAGGTCAACTGTTGGAAACTACCAGCCATTCCATAGGAGAAAGATGAGACTTTCTACTCCTGTAAAGATTTACAGCCTTGGAAACCCTATACAGGGTCACTATGAGTTGGAAACGACTCCATGATACTTAACAACAACAACAAGAGACAACTTGGAGTCTTGGTGGAGCTGTTCTACAGTAGGCTGCAAACCACAAGGTTGGTGGTTCAAACCCACCAGCTATTCCTTGGAAACCCTGTACAGGATTGCTACAACTCGGTGGCACTTGACTACAGAAACAACTCAATGACTTTTCTTAAGTTAATCTAAAGTTTTCTCTCAACTTATACCAACAGGACCAAGGCTAACCCCTTCCACATGACAGCTATTAAATTCTTTTTATATTGTTCTTGAAATCTTTGAGAAGAATAAAGCAGAGAAACCAAAGAGTGATTGGAACAGTTTCAGAGCACAGATTGGTTCTATCAGAAAACTAGATGCAGTAGCTGTCTTAACACCTTTCATTTGGAAGCCGTGTAACAAAGATGGTCATGAAATTAGTCATGACTAAACTAGTGAGGCATTATTGTCAGAGGTGGAGAAGAGCTTCCTGGGAAAAGAGATCCTTTTCTGGACATTTCCAGACAAGACTAAGCAGCAGATTTGAGACCAATGTTGTCAAGGTAGGAGTTTTGCAAGGAACGATTTGAAAGAGTCATTAAATCGACTCTTTAATTAGGGGGACGGAGTTTCAGACTGAAAGACTGAAACTGGCTTTGGCTTTTCTTTTCTGCAATGGTGTACAGGTAACAGCTATGTGCAGAGCAGTGCAATTGCATCTTCTCAGTGACATTAGGTAGAGGAACATTGGTTCTTATCCAAGAATTTGAGGCGTCTTGGTGTGGCTCTGTAAGACTGCTAACTGCAAGGTTGCTTCAGCTGCTCTTTGGAAACTCTGTACAGGGTCGCTATGAGTCAGAACTGACTCAACTAACAAGCCACTGCTGGTCTGAACTGATATTTATTAATTAAAGATCATTTATACTGGGATTGTGTGATTGAGAAATTGATACCAACCTATGTGGAGCTGTAGGATAAGCACTAGACTGTGAACCACAAGGTCAGTAGTTCAAACCCACCAGGTACTCCTCTGAAACCCAGAAGGGTTCACTGAGTTGGAATCAACTTGAAGGCACTTAAAACAATATACATTTTATAAGGAATCCACAAAAGGATCTGCAGTTCGGCTGTCTAGCCAAGAAGATACTGAGGAATGAAGGGCAGTGCTAATCAGTGTTCATGCTAATTAGTGGTTAGATTAATTAGGAGGCTGACACAAGTAAGACAGTAGAGGAAATTTAGGTGAGAAGAGAAGGGAAGCCAAATGATTCTGGTTTTTAGATGCCTATAAGTCTAGTAGTGTAGTGGTTACGAATCGGGCTGTAAACCTCAAGGTCAACAGTTCGAAACTACCAGCTGTTCTGTGGGAGAAAGATGAGGCTTTCTGCTCCCGTAAAGATCTACAGCCTCAGAAACCCTACAAAGGGTCGCTATGAGTTAGAACTGACTCAACGACACTTAACAACAGCAACGTAAGTCTGCTTATACAACAAATCAATTTTAGTCTTAGTGAGGGTTCGCTTGCACCCATCAATCTGCCACCTAATTGGTGAGAGTTTCTTCTGTTCATTGTTCCACTTTAAAAACCTGAAACTAAAGAACAACTCCAGCTGAACAATGGAAGACCTTCATTTGCCCATCTTGGTGTAAAAACCTTCTAGAACTTGGGTCCTGGACTCATCATTGCTCTGTAGCTCAGTAGCTCATGAATTTGATGTTTGGCATCATAGTGTGCAGCCCAAACTTACTTATTTGAAATTTAGAAGCTGTTTTTTTCCAGCATACTTTTGTAAAATTTCAGTCACAAAATCATATCTCTTATATATTCATTGTCACTGATAAATATTTTACCGGCATAAATGAAGCCAGGAAGTATCAATTGATACTGTGGACTAGTTTATTTTTACTACATTCATGCATGATTTTAGCAGAATAATTGAAAAATAATTATTAAATTCATTGATGAAAAAATATGCCTTTCAAATTTTTATTGAAGCATGAACAGTTAAAGCAGACAGCTACAAAATCATCAGTACAAGGTACACAGTCATAGTTTCTCAATAAGCATCATGAAAAAGAAAAAAATTAATCAGTGGGAAAAGATTCATGCTCTCACGAAAGGAAATTTGTTTTTCTACTTAATATATACTTCATGGTTTTGAAGGATATATGAAACTTCTGCTGTTGCTGCTTCATCCCATCAGGTCATTTTCAACTAATAGTGACCCTACATAGGGTTTCCAAGGCTCCAAATCTCTACAGGAGCAGAAATGATCATCTTTCTCCCACTGAACAGCTGGTGGATTTGAACTGCTGACACTAAGATTGGCAACCCAACGCATGACCAAGTACACTACCAGGGCTTCTTGTCTATTAAAATTGTTGTTGTTGTTGTTGTTGTCAGGTGCCATCAAGTCGGAACCGACTTGTAGCGACCCCATGCACAGCAGAACGAAACAATGTCCGATCCTGGGCCAACCTCACTACCGCTGCTACACTTAACACCATCAGTGATGCCACCTGGCCTATCCATCTCATTGGGGGTCTTCCTCTTTTTCTCTGACCCTC